GCCGGTGCTGCCCCCCGCCCCTGTCCTCGCGTGGGCTTCTCGCGCGGGCCCCCACCGGGGACTGGCCCCTGTCCTGGCGGCGGGATCCGAGATCCGCCTTTTTCCACAGACAGAGATGCCACCGCTGCCCCGCATGCAGGAGGGCAAGGAGAAGGGGGCACGGCATAATCCCCACCCCCCATCCCTTCCTGGGTTTGCCCCCCAATTTACAAAGTGGGCAAAGTGAGTCCTGAGCAGGTCGCTTTGGTGGGTTTTATTCATATTATTATGATGTTTCTTCTTGGAAGGGCAAAGGAAAAAAAAAAGCAGAATGTGGGGACGTGCTTTGTGAGCACCCTGCTCCAGGCTGGCACGTCCCCTATCACCTATTTGTTGCAGGCAGTACCAGGCCTTGCAGGGCAGCAGCGGCGACTTGCCTTGTGTGGCCCCAGCAGGGACAAGAGCGCACGAAATCCCCTGAGATCGGCGCTCCCGTGCCTGCAAAACACCTCCTGCTCCAAACCCGCCAGCTCCTCTGCGAAGGGCGGCTGTGCAGAGGCAGCCCACGTGTGCAGAGGGGGAAGGGGAGACCAGCTGCAGGGAAGACCTGGATGGTGCCCTGTTTTCTGAGGTGTCTTCATCCACCTGCCATCCTCTCTGCACCCGAAATGGGGCTACTTGAGTGTGGAGGGGGGTGACTCCAGTCAGGCCGCCCGCCGGGAGCCCAAGATATTTGGGTGCCTCTTCTGAGCTTGCAGCAGCCACTTTGCAAGCTGAGCTGGAGTTTTTGCTCCTCCGCAAGCTGTCCAAGGACACAAGGGCACAGCAGGAGCACCAGGTTTTGGGAGGACACGCAGACAAGGCAAACAGGCCATCAGAAGCAGGGTTGTCCATGTGGCTGTCCTCTTTGGCCCCCTGTGGATGGGCCAGGCCCTTACCTGGCCGCAGCGAACTGCAAGGGTGAAGCCGAAAGGAGAGTTAACTCCACCAGGAAGGGGAGCTCTGCCTGTCTCCTGCCTGGCTTCCCATGAGGCTGGGCTGGGTAGCCAGGTGCTGCAAGGTGTGGCAGAGGGTAATTCCCTGTGTGCCTGCTGCAATCCGACCACAGCTTTGTGGGCAGGCAGCAGAGGGTGGGAACATATAAGGCACCAGAAAAATGTACTGCAGAAAGCTCAGCTTTGCAGAGCAGCAAGGATGGAATTGGAGCGCTGGGAGAACAGGAAGACTCGTGAGTGTTAGTGTTACCTTGCAGAAGTGACCTCCTCCTGCAGCAAGGTTTCATGCAGGAACTGCTTAGGTCGTGTTTTGTGAGGCCATGTCCTCTAACGCCCATGAGTAGGTGCACTTCTGCAAGGTGCTGTTGAAGCAGGGCCTTGTCTGGCCAGTGATGGTGAGAAAAACATGACTTTTCTGAAGATTTTTCTTCTGGTGGTTGTGTAGGTTTCATAAAGTAAAACAGTGAATAATAAGAAGGTCCTCTTCCATGTGGCAATTACTCAGCTGTGTATCATGACAAGTGGCTTGTTTAATGTCACATATGCATGGTGAGACTGGTATGCCTTTTGCTCTCCGTTGCCTTAAGTCTGAGCACCTTTCTAAAGCCAACCATACATCATGTCACAGTACTGCAAATGCCCATTCCTGTTTTCAATTTTCAGGTGCTGGAAGCTGGTACCACATCTTGAAGTGAGTTACGAAGAGTTGACATGAGACTGCCAAAAGAAACAGTAGACCTGTTGCAACCTCCATGACACACTCATATGAAACGTATCTTCAGGTATTTATAGTCCATCTGCAAAAAAAAAAGCAGGATGGATCTTTCTTCATCAGGGCTTGTGCTGCGCTGTGATCCAGATAAAGTTCAACAGGGTGGTGTGAGATGAGCCAAGTTTTGTATTGTTAGATGGTTTATAGCCGCAGCATTCTACAGCAAAATGGGAATACAATCAGCTGGTTGCTTTCCAGGAAATGGCTTGAAGACCGATGACAAGCAGCAAAGGGAAGGCAGGGCAAAGCATGAATCCATCACTGTAGAGCTACTAGGAAGCTCTGAATCTCATCTTTTTGCCACTCCTAACATGAACCACAGTTATTTAAAGCAGTCTTTTCAATGGTATTCTTCAAAGACTTCTACTAACCTGAATTGGTTCTTCAGTCAAATAGTAAGAAAGTGGGGCACTGCATATCAGGAGAACACAGGAGATGGCCAGGGGAGGGGATGAAAGGGGAGGCGTTCACTGAGTCACTCCTCAGTGAAGAATCTGAATATCATTGAAAGCAGAATGCGACTGCTGTGCCCATCTAGGAAGAATCGCCGAGAAATATCAAACACAACAATGGGAAAGAAGGAAAAAGATGGATCCTCAGCTGGGTGCTAACATTTTCAATTGGAAGGTCATGCAGGAATTAAGCCTGGAGGCTGCCCTGCTTGTTCCTTTCTGACTGGAACATCTGCAGTATGTGGCAGAACAGAAAGGAAAATCAGAAGGAGAATCCAAGATGGTGTTTTTCCAGGTATTTGATGGCAATGTTAATGCCTGCAGTTCTAGGGATGCATCACAGGAACTGGATATACAAGACAATGAATTTCAGGAGGACTTGGGTCACTAAGTCCTGTTTTTGCAACTCAGAAAATATAATCTATAATTCTCTGTGACTTGTTTCTCCCATGTCACCGTGGAAGTGAGTTTCTTTGTGTTCCCTTCCACTTTAACACAAAGCTAATCAAGATAACCCAGTTCAGGACATCTGTTAGGGTTGCTTGATGGGAAATTTTATATCAGGATGATATCCTGGAAGAGATGGCCTTTCTTGAGAAGCTTATTCAGAGCACATGCCATGATTTTCTGGCTACTCTTGCTTTTGACCCACTCACAGCTTCCTTCAATCTGACCCGTCCCGAGACATCTGGCATTTGGCCGAGAAGAGGGAACAGTGGTACAGGAGGTACCAGCAGGATGGCTGGGCAGCTGCTGCTGGTTTTATTTTCTGCCTCTAAGAGAAAAAAAAAAAAAAAAAAACAACACAATGAACCTTACAGGTGTGTTCCAGGTGGATAGAAATCCATCTACACTCTAATTCTCTAATTCCAAGGCATGTTCCCTACTCTGGAACCCTTTGTTAGAGAAACTGTTTGTTTGTTTGTTTGGTGTGTGGGATGGAAATGTAGTTTTTTTTGGACTAGGAAGGTGTTCCATTTTTGGTATGCTTTCCTGAGAGACTTGTTATTCCTACCTGGTTTGGTGGGGAAAAGTGTGCAGTGGGCACAAGGTTAGCTATGAACCTAGGCCTGAGATCCTCAGGGTATCTAAATGGGTGAAAATGACCGTGTTTGTTCAATCAAAATCAAGACTACAGAGGCGGAAGAGAGAGTTTTACTTCAAGTTGATTCATTTTGTTGAGTGCTTGTTTGTTGAGTTTGTTGAGTACACCAGCTTCCTAAAATTGTCACAGCTCCCTTCACCTGGTTCCAGACACCACCCAGGTCTTCCCCAGAGCTTACGTGTCCTCTTATTTCAGGGATCTTCTCTATGTGGGAAAGCTACTGTTCAGTGAGATAAAGTAGCTTGACACATAATTACTCAGCCCTGGTGTGGAAGAGATGACCCAAGAGGGATTTTTTTTTTTTTCAGTAGTGGCATACGTTAGAAGGAATTAACAGATAAATGTCCAAGCGAAAGAAAAATTGCGCTGTGTTTCTTACAGTTGGTCAGTGTGGGAGAGTAGGGGGAATTTAGAGACTGAGCATGCACTGTCTCTACTAGTCAGCCCAGGACTCATTTTTTTCTTTGCTGGGTTTAACAAGGGTAATTGTTGTCTCTGCTGATTAGAAGTGATGGTTACTCTGCTGAGAACGGTGGTTACCAGTGCATTTATTAGCAACAAATCTTTATAAAGAGTGAAGAGAGTTACTGAAAGCAATGAACTTCCTGAACCACTTGGGCGTAAGTTACAGGGTGTCATGAACTTACAGCCCTTGTTTGTGTGCCAGGGGCCAAAGATATACACATCAAAGTGATTTTCTAAACTAAATTAAGAAACATAGGCTATGCAAATTGTCTCTCCCCACCCACCTTTTCCTGTTTGTTTAGATGGCTCAAGATAGTAATACATTTATATTGGTAATAATGTTGCTTCACGTTTTTTGTTTGTATTGTCTTTTTCCTGTGAGAAAGTCTTGGGAAAGGTGACAAGCTACATCTTTTTACTTTTATGCCCTGTCAATGCAAAAGTGCTTCAAGATGGTATACACAACTGTCAGGCACTTCTGTAAGTGCAAGGTATTTTCTTTGAAAAAAAAGTCGTTCTGTAAAAATGAAAATACTTACTACAAACATTATTTTGTGAGCAGTTTCAAAAGGATTTAACATATAAGTAAATCACTAATCAAGTATCTGTCTATTTCTATTCTGTCATACAGAAGCCCAGTGTGGACGTTTTTGCTGCTCTTTACTTTTGGGTGTTAGTGGGAACTGAAGATAACAAAAG